ACAAGGTCCATGTCCTCACTGGATACTCATCAAGCAGCCCCTGATGAAGCCACTCCACCAGGTGACTGTTCGCATCTCTCGAAAGGTAGCTTTATCCAACAACACACCCCACCTGGAGTAGGATTTTAAACCACGGGAGCCCAGGAGTCTTATAATTAAAGAGAAAAAGCAACCAGCAGAAATTTGGGGTGTGGACCAATGAATTCTACTTGCGACTGAAAAAAATAGGTGGTAAATTAGTGGTGCACAGAATCCAGCAGAAATTCTAATTAAACCAGTAATTAGAAATGACGGAGTACAGCGAGCGGCAACTAGTCATCTTCAAATGAGCCATGAGTAGGTTCTGGAAGGCGGAGTGGCAACTCAGTGGGACAAATGCAACTGATGAGGTGACCCCAGGGCCTAGGAGCTGGGGCGTTACTTCCTCTGGCCCTATGCTTACCTCACTCTCACTCCACAAGAAAACGCAGAGCAAACAGGGCTTTGAGTCTCACCTTCCACGTTAGGGACTCAGGCTGACTCAGAATTATTCTCTAACAAAATGTACCTGGTTCTGAACATGAGGATGATGTAATACGGTAATCCGTCTCGCACCTGAGCTCATGTTCTCACATGTGAGTTTTCTGTACACCATGAATATTTCATTATATATTTTGAAATACCTGGACTTATCCATGAATAAACAATGTTTTAATTCTTAACGTTACTCATGGCAGGGGGTGGTGGGGAGGAGAATTGTCAAAGCACCGTAACTGCACAGAATGGCTGCCTACGGAGCAACGGTTTCTGAGAAGACCTCTTCGTACGCTCCCGGGGTGGGGCGAGCACTAATGCTTACATTCCAGTTACCCATCCTCGCTTCCAGGAACTTCTCGCTGAGATCAGGGTGGTCTGGGGGTGCCAGGAGGCTAGGACAGCATGGGCCTCTTCCTCCAGGGGTAGCGATTTCTCAGAGAGAAGAGATGGAGGAGGAAGAGGAAGCAGGTGCCAAGTTTCCCAGAACAGCCAAGGACACGAAGGTGAGAAGAGTGGCTCTCTAGGGGACAAGACCAGGAAGCAAGCAGCATCCCTCTGAGCAGCGCATGCCAGCAGCTGCTGTACATAACCCTGGAGTGTTAGCGGTTTTGCTCTGGGGTCGCATCAGAAACTCCTGTAAGTCCCTGGCACACTCTCCAGCAGAGAAACCTGACACACCAGAGCTCCTACCGGCGACTGGACGTCCTGATTCTGCAGATGCAGAAATCCTCAGGGCAGCATCGTCTGCTCTGACTCTTCCCTCACTGCTTCCAGCCCAATCCCCGACTTAGACAAACTTTAAGGAGGAAGAGGTCAGGAAGAGAAAGACGGATGGAACAATAAAGTAGCAAGTGGGAGCCTGGGATCTTCTTCTGGATTCCAACCCACCCGGAACCACGCACCACAGTCCCAAAACCTTGGAGACTTAGGTACGTTCTTTCTCGATCAGGTTCCCACTGGAGGCTCATCTCCCCCTTTCTCAGGATACTAGCTTAAAGAACAGGACCCACAGGTTAAGACATCACCTGGGTAAATGCCTAGGTGGTCAGTAAGCATTTATTGAGGATTTATTATGGAGATATATAACATAGTGGTTAAGAGAAGGAAGTCTGGAATCTGACAGACCTGAGTTCAAATTCTCAGGTTCCCACTCACTAATTGGGTGACCTTGAGCAAATCAGTAAACCTCTCTGAACCTCAAGACTCACATTTGTAAACTGCCGAGAGCAGTATCTGTCTCCTGGGATTATAGCGAAGATCAAAGAGAGGGTGTATAAATAAAGCACTCAGCACAGTGCAAAAGCCTCAATAAAAATGTGAATATTGTCACTGTGTGCCAAGCATGGCGTGAGCTGCTAGAATCCTGAACTATACTCTCCTAAAAGCTCACAAAGTAGGCATTTCCTCACAGATCACTGTCCCACCTGAGTTCGGGAGCATGCACTTACACAGATCTATCTACTCGTGGTACTGTACTTTTGACCTCTGGAAGGCACCTGAGTTCGGGAGCATGCACTTACACAGATCTACTCGTGGTACTGTGCTTTGGACCTCTGGAAGCCTGGGACACCAGCAGGGGCAGGCTGATGGAAAAGGACTTTGCAGGGGCTGAGTGACAGTTCTGGGTTCCACAGGACTCCAGATGTATAGCTGTGAGGACTTCTTGAAGCCCAGCCTGGGAACAAATAATAACTCAGACCTGGTTCTAGGAAAGAAGCCCAAATCCATCTTCCATTTAAACTATTCTGCTGCTTATCTTAGCGGCTTTTAAGGGATTAATGATGAATTGCCTGGCTGCAGCAAACCCGGACAGGAAAGGAGCATGAGGGGAGGGAAGAGGCACAGGAGCAGGAACCTGCTTCTCAGAAGTCCTCTCATCTCTGTCTCTGGTACCCTTAAATTTGCCAGATCCAGTGGGAAGGGTGTTGATTTCTGGGGTGCATGTGCCCCCCACACACATCCATGCACACACACACATTTCCAGGAGTAGAATGGAGCCCCCTGGGTCAGCGTGGCCTTTTTTTCCTGCATTGAGGACCCCTTTATTTCCTCGACTCCTAAGACACACCTTAGCTCAGCGCCAAGTCTAGACACATCACAGAGGAAGGAGCAAGGAGCCCAGGACCTTCGGGGAAGACAGGGGACATAGTCCTTTCCTCCCAGGAAAGGCCAGCTTTGCTTCTCCCGGACAGTTGTCTTGCAGCTTCCAACTCCACTGTGGATAGGACAGGTAGAGAAAGTGATGGCAAGATCTGATCAAAGGGCAAGGACTCCTGAAATCCACCCAGCAGGTGCTGCAACCTGAGACCAGGCCTCAGTCATGAACAACAGGCAGAGTCTGGCTGTCCATGCTGGAGTCTCGCTCTGGAGCTATCGCAGACAGTCAAGGGCACCCCCGTACCCCCAGCCCTGCTCCTACTCTCCTAGGGAGAACTGAGGGTTGGAAGTAGGTCAGTTTGAAGCCGAGTTATGGGTCCTTTTCAACCACATGCGAAGCCCTGCCACTTTTGTCTCCACTCCCTCTAACACCAAGGGCAGGGAGAGAAATAATTAGCCCTGGTTAAGGCCCATAAAGAAAGGTGGGAACTCGCAGTTAATGAGCATCTGCTCTGTGTCTGGATATAATTGACAATCAGGGGTGCCTATGGTGCCTTTGGCACACTGGGCTCAAAATAAGCCTACGACAAAGGCACCATAGGCGCCTTGTTTTTCAACTAAAGAAAACAAGGCTCCAGAGGTAAAACGACTTGCCCACTATCACCCCACTCTGGCACAGGGCAGGGCACTGGGCCATTCTCACCACAATCACAGAGCATCCCCCGAAGCCTCTCCTCCACACCCTCCCACAACCTGACCCTGCTCACCTTCCCGGGGGTCAGAGCTCTAGGACCCTTGCACAGGATCCAGGCAGCTTGAGCTCTCTTAGCTCACTCCGAGGACTTGCCCACCTCTGGCCAGTGGCTCCCAAACACTGGGAACTCCAGCCGTCCTTGCTCACGAGTCCTGGTACCAAACCCCATTCAACTCACAAGCAGCTGACACAACTCTGCGTGTGACTCAGGCCAAACTCTCTCCAATCAGAGCCAGTGGGCACGATTTGCCTCTTGCACTGAGTCACCCTCCAGGCTGAGCTGTAGGGATTCGCTGAAACTCACCACCTACTTAGCCACAGCTGCTCCATCTAAGAAAAAGCCAGCAGAGGAGCTGGAGCCTCCGACTGTCCCCATGGATGGGCCATGGCCAAGGACAATCAGGTGTGACCTCTAAGCTCTTCCTGCCTAGGTGATGGGTCCATCTCACCGACGGTAGGATAATGTAAGCACAGCGAGTGATGCAAGAAGCTCTCACTGTTAACCTCGACGCACTGTGACCTTGTTCTCCAGACACCAATCAGTATGTCCGGCACACCCTAACAGGATCTAACTAAAGTTTTGGTTGAAATCACAGGATCTTCTTAGTTTCTGGCCGTTCCTGTAAACAAATGCCCTCAAAAGAATCTTCCTAACTCCCCTACCCAACCCCACCTGCTTCTCATTCACGGCTCCATTGCTCCAAAGGTAGCTCTGGTTTAGAAATATCTAATCTAAACAGCCAGTTAAATATTTGATCCAATTCTTTAAAAAAACAAAAACAAAAAACTCCTCTTAACAGCGACTGGGTCCTGTAAGGTGGAGTGGCCTCTGAGCACTTAGAGCCTTGACAGGGCTGTTTGAGCTTTAAAAGGAAACAAACACGAGGCTTCCTTCTGACGCCGCAGCTGCGCCCCCAGAGAACTGCGAGCATCGCCTGTGAGTACCGTGTGCACAGGTATAAATGTGGCAGAGGCCTCTCTCCCGAGACGGCGCCCTCTCGCGACCTGCACCCAGCGCACGTCCTCTATCTCCGCCCTGCGTTCCTAGGTGCGCTTCCCTCGAGGGAGGATGGGCTCCCGCTAGCTCCAAATTCAGCGAGAATCAGCCCCAGGATTGGGAATTAAATATTCATCTTGGGCGTGAGTGCTCTGCTTCTCCTGCCAATGTTATTGTCAAGGTCACGGGCCTGAAGCCGAGCAGCTGGGGCTAGGGTCTCTAGCAGAGCAGGAGTCTCCTGGCGCGAACTGCGCCCTGGGCGCGCAGCTCCAGGAGGCGAGACCCGCCGGGCCTCCTCCACTGTCGTCCGCGGGCCCTTGCCTCTACAGCTCTGCCCCCATTACCTCTGGAGTTCTTGGGCCCATCTGAGCCCCGGAAGCCCGATGTCCAGCCCGCGAGCACGGTGCTGGGCACTCCGGATGCGCCAGAGGAGCGCAGGTTCCCGGGCTCCGTCGCCAGGCAACGGAGGCAGGAGCGGCTGGAGGAGCCCGGGCCCGCGCAGGGCCGGGCTGATACCCAGGCAGCACCGCCTCGCACCCCGGTTCTTAGGCCTTCAGGCTGGGGCGGGGCCGGAACAGCTAAAGTTGCGATGGCTGGCCGGGTTTAAAGCCAAGTGGGGCGCGGCCCGCGACTCACCTGTCCCGCGTGGACCGTTGCGCGGACTCGGCCTCTGCTCTCCCGCGGAGGAGCTGCAGTCCCCGACGGGTGGCGGGCACAAAGCCCCCCCGCCCCCCACGGACAGCTGGAGTCTGGTGGCAACAGACACTGGCCGGGGCTGGGAGGGTGCCCGGAGCCGCGCACCCGCGCACGCGACTCTGCTCGCTCCTCGCTCTCTCCCTCGCCGCCGGTCCCGGCCCAGCCCCAGCCCGCGGCGCGCTCCGCCCTCTGGAGAGCGGCCCGGGGACTCGCGTCCCGCGGCAAAGGGAGCGCGTGGAGCTGCGGGAGCTGGGGCCGAGTGCCGCCCGCCCTGCGCCCTGGTCGCGCCGGCTCTGCGGAGCGGAACGGAGCTGGGCGGAGCGCAGCGCGCACTGTTCCCTCGCTTTCGGAAAGGCCACCCTGGCGGCGGGGCGCCGTGACGCAGGCTTGACTCACGCGCGGGCCCGCGTCAATGCGAGGTTCTGGGGCTGCGAGGGAGGCTCTGATGGCCGACGCAGGCGGAGGGGGTGGGCAGGGAGAGGAAGAGGGGCTGCCCAGGGAGCCCTAGGCCTCGTATTTTCACCTTTTCAGGCCCATCTCTTTCGGCCCCTCCTCATGAACTTAGTCCCATCCAAAGTGGTGGTTCCCCCTGCCCCAGTCACTTGCGCCTCCGTGCCTTTGTTCCCTCTCTCCTCACTTGGAATGCCTTTCCCGCTCCACTGTCCTTCCGTCTTAGCGTCCTGCAAGACCATTCCCTGTGCGGCTCAGCTCTTGGATACATCACTCATCTATTGGGCTCCTCCTGTAGGCATGGGCGGCAGGGGGTTGATGAGACCACAGAGATGATGGATGGTAGGGAACCTCTGGGAGAGGCAGAGCGGGGTTTATCCACGTAGCCACAATGCAAGGCAGAAACACTGAAGTCCCTTTAAGAGGAGGAAAGTGGGGGACAGTGAAAGGAGAGGAAAATTCTGACTGGGCTCTGGGCAGACCTGTGGAGGGTGTGAGACAGGATCCTGGCCTCGAAGGGTGGACAAGACTCCAACGGACAGAAGAGGCGAAGGGTGGCCCTTCTGGAGGAGCAGCATGCGAAGAGCAAAGATGTGACAGAGTGGGGACGGTGTGCAGGGCGGTGACCGCCTGAGCCCGAGCAGGGGTGGGGTGGTAAGAAGTGAAGGTAGGAGGCAGGAACCATGCTCATGGCCTTGGAGAACTGGCTGGGGAGTCTGGAATGAATTATCTCTGCTCTAGAGAACATTAAAGGGACCTCGACATTAGAGACAGGTGTTTGGGAGGGATGGGAAGTAGAGGCTGTCTCAACAGTGCTACTGAAAGGCGATAGAACCATTGTCATGAGCTCCGGAGGCTCTGAGATTTTAATCTTGCAATCTAACAAGTTCCGTGGATGTTGGCGGAAGACATGAGACTCCTGGGCCAAAGACAAAGGACTCTATTACTCATGGTATAGCAGGCAGCATGAATGTCACAGTCGAATCCGTTTCCCTCGAACTTCCCACAGGAATGTGGGCCTGGGCCCAGGTGATACCGCATATGCTGAGGAACTCTGAGCGTAGGAAATCTCAGACTTTTATAATGAGCTGCAAGCAAACCTGCCCGACCTTTGCCCCAGATGTTGTTAGATTTATCATCATCAGTATACTGGACAGCAAATAAACCTGTCCTCCGCTGGGGAGACACTATCTCCATCTTCCAAAGCTGTTTGCAGTGCAAACAACCTTAAGATAGTCCGAAACAAAAAGCCATCGGTGCCTCTTCTTTTAGAAGCACAAATGTGATCGCACCCTTCTCGAGCTTGCAGAGTTTTGCCACCATCTCTAGCAGGTCCTTCGAGGCCGCTCTTCATCTCTAACCTCGTTTCACACCCCTCTCCCCATGGCCTTCCCTGAAGCCCCCCACCTACACCGACCTGCTCTCAGTTCTCCTACTCGCCCACTCCGTCCTGACTCAGCTGTCAGCCCACGTGCCCTCTCTGTCCGGAAGCCTCTAAAGCCCCCTCCGCCTCTCCCTCACCCTGCAGACTCACCACAGGGTTCGCCTCGGACCCCAATTCTTCACGCCTCTCTGACCATGGATAAGAATTCAGTCAGTCTCCCAGGTGGACATTTCTTGTCCTTTGGAGCCCTCGTCACGATCGTAACTAAGTACTTAGTGGTGTGACTGGCTGCTAAGTGACAGTCAGCTTGGCTGGTATGTAAGTCCTGCAGGGCAGAGACCACTTGTCCAGGTGAGGCCATGTCAATCTCCAACACAGAATGGACTTCCCATAAAGATTTACCTAAAGAAGAGATAACGTGTGGTTAGAACTGCAGGTGTGACGTCCAGGAAAGAGGGCCGGAGACACATAAAGTGAAGCAGAGGGAAAGGTGGCCTTTGGTTAGAACTGCAGGTGTGACGTCCAGGAAAGAGGGCTGGAGACACAGACTAAGTGGGTGGTGAAGCAGAGGGAAAGGTGGCCTTTTGGGGAAGCTTGTAGAAGACGATCAAGAGGCTAGAAGCTTGGATGGGGGACAGTGTTTACTTCTCAGGGCCAGAGGAACAAGGAGGGTCAGGAAAGGAGACAGAAGAAGAGTCGAGAGGTGTGGGGACAACGTATATCACAGAAGAAGCAGAGAAGTTTGAGAAAGGAAAGGCACAGGGTCAAAATCTGCAGCCAACTTAAAGGGGAAGAAGCCTGGAAGCTGTCCTTGATGACAGCGCACATGGGGTGGTGAGCACGAAGCCATATTGGAGGCCCTGAGGTGGAAATAGCAGCAAAATCTAAAACACAGCTGACAAGAAAGTTTCCGCCCACCTCTGTGACCGTGTAAGTGTATCTTTAGCAGACGCGATAGGCTCGTCGTCATTCTTTGAGAGATGCTTATCCTGTTGTGGCCTCTGAGGGTAAAGCCAGTCACTGTGGACATGTGGAATTTTACCCGAAGGGAGAGGCCGATGCCAGTGTAATTCTCTGGGGAAAATGGAAACTGGAAGGAGAACAGGAGCTCCGAGTCCTTCCAGGGCTGGCCCATATCCATGGCGCTCCCGATCCCTTATTTCTTTTTGCTGGCCCCTGACCACCCTCCCTAGTAAAATGTGGTTTGCCTTTCCATCGAGACCCCTCTTGGCTACATCGTCTCGCCAGTCCGTTGGAGTCGGCAGGAGGCATGGAGCAGATTTGCGGTCCCGGGTCAGGAAATGAGTGAGAGAGCGAGGTCTCGGCTCCGAGAGGCTGAGGGAGCAGTGCAGGGCGGTAGCACAGGGCGGGTGTGGCTCAGCTCGGCCCCTGCAGTCATGGTGCCGGTGTTCCTGGTCTCACCCCATTAGTACTAGCTTGGGACCTCTCAGGGCCAGAGTGTCCTCACCCACGAAATGAGGTTGACAGTACAAATGGGGTTAACTTATAGAGTATAGAGCATTAAATGAGATTTTCCAAGTATAACAGACTTTGTATTTCTGTATGTTCCAAGTATAACAATATATACTTGCATTTATAACAATCTGGCACATAATGAGGACCTAATACATGTCATCTCTGGCTGCTGTGATAGAGATGATGATGATGATGACAAAGATGATGATGACCATGATGATGGTGACATAGTGAGGAGCTGGGCCAGGAGCTTGGGAGGGGTGGGTGCTGCCAGCTAGGGCTTTTTGTCCTAGGGTCCTGTGTGGATGGAACAGAACTTTGAGCCTAAGGAGGAAGCTCTTTCTTGCAAAGCAGGCTGTCCTGAAAGTCACCTGTCCAGATTTGAGCCATGCATTAAGAAGGGAGCAGTGAGAACCTGAACTGGGGAGGGAATTCCCTAGGCAGTCAGGACACAGTGGGCAGCTGCCCCTCCCCACCTGGCTCATCTGGTGCCAATCTTGGGGGATGGCAGCCCTTCCTACAGCTCCAAGTCCCCCTCCTCCGGTCTACATGCAGCAGCCAGGTTTTCAACTCCAACTAGATTATATTTGGGGAAAGCTACTCTGCGTCAGGCACTGTGCTAAGCTCAGTCAGCTTATGGCTGAATTCAGAGGCAGGGTTTACAAATCAGCCAAAGATAACTTGGAAGGTGTTAAAGAGCTAAAGACGTTCCTCTGTGTTGGCCAGAGCCTAACAAAGGCCCCAAAGCAGCCCCAGAGCTGCGAAGACAACAGTCTTCAACCAGATATAAGACCTTCAACCAAATATAAGAGAAGGCGAATGGAAAGGGGACTTCGTTAGCAACTAGGGGTTTGTGTTCAGCTCAGTTTTTGCTCTGAATATTATGTCGCTTGGAAAATGGAATAGAATTTTCTCTCTCTCGATGTATATATAAAGAGTCAAGTAAGAATCTTTGTAGAAACAGCACAGTTGAGTGCATTACATTAACATTTCTGCTTCTTCTCAAAATCCATCATTCTCAGTTTCATCAGAGTTTATATTTTATATTGGAGTTTTATTTTACTTCGAGCTATGAAAATGAGGCAGCAATGTGAAGTGGCTGCTAAAGTGGCTAACTTAAGTGTGAGCTGCATTTATGGAATTATAGCTCTCGGGTGAAGGGACAGATATAACGAGTCCATCTAGCTTTTATTCTGAAGCTAGAAGACCACTGGAAAGAAATAGAGCGCAAGCAGGGATGAGCTCATGAAGGACTTCACAATGTTCCCAGACTCACGGACCTGAATCTAGCTGGCCCATTTAGCAAAGGACAAGTGGGAGATGAAGCCAGAAACAAGCTGGATTCTCTAATGGGGAAGCCTGACATGTCAGGATGGAAAGCCCTCTACTTACGTTGGAAGGTAATAGGGAGCCATTGAAAGTTTTAGAGCATGATTATGGGGATGGTAGAATGACCTCCTATGTAGGCTTAAATGGGAGGTGGTAATCCAGAACCCTTCAGAAGCATCTCTAATCCCTGAGAAGAGACCCCCAATTTCTACTCGCAGGTTTCACCTCACAGCAACTTCAAGAGAGTCCTGACCTTAACTCCCCAGACAGCAAAGTGGATGTGTCACTTTCAGATCTGAGGGAATCTAGTGGTGAGAACGGTTGGGGGAAGTGGGGGACAATTGGGAAGGACCATGAGGAGAGAGGCAGTGAGGCGTCAGAGACCCTGGAGGACCAGAGAGAGGCCTCCAAATTCTTTCCTGCACTGGCCACCCCGCCTCCCTTCTCTGTGACTCAGGTGAACCTCAGAACTGCTCGATTCCTCATTTCCCCAGCACTGCGAGGCTGTCAACTGAGGTAGTAGAGACAAAAAACAGACAGCTCTTCACAGGAACAAGAAGCGCCACACGCATGCGGACCAGACCCAAGCTTTTGCTTATTGGGACTCGATAGTCTAGAAAGCTGCCCCAAAGAATTCGACTCCACAGAGTCCTTACTGAGCGGGTTGGGGTGCCCCAACTAAACACACCCCTGCGTGACCACCTAGAA